TGGATCGGGACACAGGGATTTACTTTTTTTGCTTCCTTTTTTGTCTTTCTCTGGCTCTAATACATACATAAGGAAACTATTTGTACAAATACTTTATTAACTTTCCATTTATTCCTTTATGTAAGGTCTAATTATCAAAGGAATTTCCTAGAAATCTAAAAAATACATCCTCCCCAATATACACAGCGATAAATAGGGAAAGTCAATTCATTTTTAATAAATGCCATTTGGGGAAAAATGATACAGATTAATAAAATTTGATGAGGGATAAGTACTGAGAAAGCTTTGTAGTTCATGGCGACGCTCTTATACAAACCTGAATTCGGAGTAGAAGTCTTCTGTTAGCATGCTCTAATTTCTTCTGCCTGTGTTCTAATTCTCTGGCTCTCTGTTGTTCTTTTTGTAGCCACTTGATGTACTCCACTGATGCTTTTAAAATAGTTCCTTTGTTCCAGCGCATATCACTGCAGAATGTAGAGATAACCTTTTCACAATTGTGCATGTCAGCAGAATTCATAAGAACTTACAAAATCTTTTACATTAATATGAAATAATGATTTACATGACTATTATTCACTCTTAGATATTATTGCTTCTGAATGGAAATTTTAATAGAATAGTTAAGAAGCCCTTATATAGTAAAATTAATCCCAGAATGAAAATAAGTGTCAAAAGAAAGTAATAAAGTGACTTTTTGTGGGAGAGCTAAATGCAATATCATGATTCTACCATTACAGTTTTTATATTTTTAGTGAAAATTGCTTTTATTATTAACTCTAAGATTAAAATCTATGTGCAGTATTTCTGCATTAATGAACTAGGAAATATACATTACTGAGGACTTAAGCCTAAATTTTTAAAGATCATTTTGAATATACTACTCCTTTTACCTGACTTACTAATGAGGTTGCTTTTATGCTTGTTGAGAAAAAAATGGTCTGTGCTGAATGCCACTCCTCATTGATGGTAGACCAGACAAATCACACTTTCATAACCATAATGGGTATGGAATGACAAAAATCCCGTTCAAAAATCTTGAAACAATATAAACCAAGTTAAAATCCACAGCTACATACAGACCCCAACTCAAAATAAAAGCTTTGCAAAAAATAAGATTAAACCTGTCCATCATTCAGGAAATCACGGTTTAACTTCCATCTTACAAGCAGTCTTACTAACAGCAATAGACTTGTTCAAATGCATCTGTTCAAGGACTTTCATGTACCCATTTATCAACTTTCCATGTATTCCTTTATGTAAGGTCTTGAAGGCCTTGGGACAAGAATGAAATTTGTTGAAAATGTTTAATTTCTAATAAGGTTTATGTTACAGGGTGGGCCTGCTGCATTAAATATATAGACAAAAGGGTTTATCAAAACTATCCGCTTCAATGCAAGATGGCTTAGACCAAGCAGAAGATTGGCAGAGGTTCTGGTCCTACAAAACAACCCTGAGAAAGAAAAAGCTATTTAAACCGGTAAGAATCTGCGGTTGGGAGTGACAAGCAACCACTTTAGTGCTTTTTTTTTTTTTTTTTTTTAGTACCTATTCCAAAGACATATACTTATACACTGGCATTTATAGAGTCAAAAAGAAATATAAATTATACTCCAGGCAATCATCACCTTCCATTATTCCTTGGTTGCTTTAGTTAGTGAGACTCGCTCCCGCTCACATGCTCACCTGTGGTGAGTAAAACTGTGATCTGGAGTGGATTCATTGCAGAAGTGTCTATGCTTTACATTCAGCCTAAGTGTCTAAGGAACTTTGCACCCTTACCCCAAGGCTAAGCATGCTTAGATACTTCCACCAAGGCAGTTGTCTTCCTACTGAATGTATAGGGCAAAAGCCAGGCAGGTACAGGATTTAGGGACCCAGACCACCTGGCCTTTCCTGATGCACTGTACTAGGGATAAAACCTTATGGAGTTGATAGCTTTAAAGATGCTCAGAAGAATATGCAAAATTATTTGTGATAAAACATCACAGTGTTTAACCATATCCTAGAATTTAGATCATTTACTAGAGATTTGGGAGAACCAGCTTTTTGATCAGAGAGAGCTCGAATCCACATCTCTGTCCTCTCTGGGCAGCACACAAACCATGGGACTCCAGCACACTGGGACCCCCCCTCGTCTCAGTGATGTGAGCTAGGAATGCACAGCTTTCGGGATTAGAAGGCGAGGATGTCAGAAAGAAAATAATTGTTGCCTCAGACCTGCTGTCTGCAAAGCCAAAACATCAGAGGCTGCTTGCTGAAGTGGGAATGTATTCTTTTAGGCATTCCCTGGTCAAAAAAACTAAAGCAGAGGTGGGACTGGGAGCCAAGAGCAGAACCTGTCTCCCTCATGACAGCTGAATCACCTCTTGGCAGTCCCTCTGTCTCCTCGTTCCTCTCCCTGTACTTGTTGCCCAGGTGGGAGGACAGAACATTTCCCTGCCAGCATCCCCTGGACTCCCTCCCAGCAGAGGAATTCCTCCTCACGTGTGGGATACCTATGTTCAAAGGTTAAGGAAGTTTTTAGTACACATAATGCTTGTTTTCTGGACAAATGTTTGACTGCCATCACCACATTATAATCTTGTTTTCTTCAGACCTCTTTGGAAAGTTGGTGAAATACTGAGAGGTCCCTATTTACACCTGGATTGCTGTGGAGTGTGAAAGGCAGAGAGGTGCCTGTCTGGCTGCACTAGAGCGCTCCTGAATCGATAGGAGCAGCTGAAGCTAGGAGGACAACAACATTTCAGACTGGGACTCTCCACTGCCATCTCAGATGGCTAAACATTTGCATTTAATAGCTTTTGAAAGGCAAGGTCACGGCTATCAGAATTACACTAGGTTTTTGGTTAATTTCAAGTGAAAAGGACTGATTTAGGACATTTCATGGCAACTTTGAAAAGCGCTATATATATATAGCATAAACTCTGGAGAAACACAATCTGCCTAGGCAAGGGGGGTCAGCTCTTCCTAGCATCTAATCAAGACAAAACAAAGTCAGTTTTGGACTGATGGTCTGAACATAAAAATGTAGCACTATGAAATGAGAAATTAATCCATAGCTGGCAAAATGGAAACAATTAAGACATGTAACAGCAGGAGAAAAATATGCATGTATCACATATTCGGCAAATATTTCATAGTGATTTCACAAACAATTTCATATCAGTTATAAAATATTACAAATTCAAAACCAAATTCAGACAAAAATATTTTTGGTTAGTTTTTCTGATTGACATATGAATAAGCTATATATTCATGACTGTATTTGGAATCTTTTTGTGATTAAATTCATTCATGTTACACATAATTGACAACCTTTGTGATATTGTTTACTTTTAGTTCATTTTGCTTTGATAGTTTGAATTTTTACATATATGGTAGCGATATTCTTTCTCATAGGTTGAAACGAATTTTCACTGGAGGTCTAATTCCGAGATTCAAACTCCTCTAGGAAGGATAAGAGCATCTGATCATCTAAGATTAAAACTAATTAACGCAAACAGAGTTTGGGAGAGGGCGATAGCCACAGAGTTTGCCAGCCACAGAGCAGTTACTAATAACAAATACATTTGTGATGTTGAAACTATGTTTGCAGACCATTTCTTTCCCTATTTCTGAGAAATTGGCTGTGAACTATGCTTGCTCAGAGAAATACTTTGAAGGACTTTGCACTTGTTTTGATGACCTGCACAATCACAAAGTCTGTTCTCCTGAAAGAGGCAGCAAGTTTCCACTCTATAATAGCATGAGTGTATGCAAGTTTTTCCTTTACAAGAAACGTGGCCATGCTGGCTGCTAGCAGGTCTGCCCACAGACAACAGAGAGAAGGTCAGGCACAGGCAGATGCAGAGAGGAGAGAGTGAGAGCAACCCACTGCTTCTGCCCAAATCCTCAGTGGTTCTCTTAACACCCCAGTTCTGTAGAATGACTAGAATTCTTAAAGGAAAGATTTTTTTCTTCTTAGTATTTCTGACAATTCTAGTCTGACTACCATAAAACAGTTCTTGCGTAGGCATTTCCAGACTCCATCACACCTAAAAGGTGGATTCTGAAAGGCTGAACACAAAGGAACCATGAATGGAAAGGTAGGTATAGTTAAAGGAACAGGTTATGAGTTTTTCAGCTAAATATGACTGGGTATTTGGGGCCTTTTTAAAATTCTATTTTTGAATTATTCTGTATAACTATTTTGCATTCTGAATCATCTACCACTTGGATATCTAAGCATTGAAAATGAAACAAAAGAGTCAAAGTTCTTTGCAATTTATACTTATCTCCATTTTCTAATGCTGATGAAGTGAACTTTAAACACCCATTCATTTAAGCAATGTAATCCACACTTTTCATCATTAAATTAAAAAAAAAAGAAGTGAAGAGAATAGGGGTTTAAGCCAGTCAAAAGAAAGTCCCTGTGGAAGCTCTGCAGGAGCCAAACAAGTTCACTATATAACTAACAAAACAAAAGTGAAATAAAAACCCCACACACCACTTCTAAGAAATATAAATCATAAAAGGTTTCCAAATAGCATCAAAAATGTCCTTTTCTGTTCCCGAGTCTGAATGTAATCTTCTTGAAGCAAGCCATCTGGGACAGGCATGCTAACCACAATGGCTTAGTTACAGTAGTATTTGCTCTTCAATGCAAAGGCTGATTTGCTTCACTGTCATTAGTCCAAGCATCAGTAAGGTTTCTCCTTTTACAGCTAAGTTCCCACTATAAGAAGAATCTTCTAAAATCAATATATGAGGTGAAAATGCTATGTGTGATAAAATGTTACAGATAAAGTATTGTAAGAGATGATACATCTTCTTTCAAAGAAGAAGGGGGCAGATTGGGGGCACAGTAAGGTGTTAGGAAGGAAAAAGCAAGAACTGAAAGAGAGGGTAAGGACACTGAGTTATGATTTGTCAACACAGGACCATACCAGAAAGAAATAATAATTTTGACCTGCTCAGCCAACAAAACAACATGGTCAAATTATGTTTTTCCACCTACAAATATATTAAAAAAAAAAGTGTTTACACTTTGGATTAATTTAGCCTGGCACCAAGCTATAGCAAAGCTGTGTTACAATCTAGTTTTTCAAAAGCGTCCTGCACCTTTTGATGCCTCTTTTTTCTTAACACCAACTTGAAACCTTTTAAATAGGCCTATTTTCAAAAGGAGTACTGATTACCAGCCTTTTGAAGACAGCAGTCCTCAGAACCTGAAACACTTAAGTTCACCTCGTGCTTTTGTAAACATAAACCACTTTGGGGCTGTCACACTGTTGAACTCAGTCATGGGTTTGCAGACTAACACAAGAAAAGGCTTTTCTTCAGGATCTATACCTGAATTTTTTTCATCAAGCAACACCACCAAAATCTGTGGGTAAAATCATTCACTTACTGGAGCAAAATTACAGGTCCAGGTCATTCATTTTAAGAAGAGCTTAAGTGCTTGCTCTAGGTATAAATGTTTTGAGTAAGTTCATAAACTAAGCCTGATTCCAGACCAAAACATGTAACTGAAACACCTCTGTAGGCCATCAAAAATCACAACTGGTATTTGTACCTCATGCCCATTTCTAAATGCAGTATAACTCGCTTCCATTATTGCTTTATAGCTGCAAACCAACAGTGCCATCCACTGTTTTTCTGAGAAATCTTTCAATTATTTGCCCAAATGGTCTTGAATACTGAGAGATGCACCAGCAAAATTAAAACCCTTCTACCAGTCTGTGTTTGCAACGGATCACATGCGGCCAAAACTTTATTTAGGTACTTAAAGCACTTCTTATTTTAACTCAGCTGTAATACCTAATTCTATATTAATAACAAGAACGTGCCCATTTATTTAATCTTGGGTGGATGCTGTAGAAGGAGCCGAGTTTGTGAATCCTCTAAAATGGATGTGGCACGTTAACTTTCTCTCTGGTGGTTTCACTCCAAGTGGCTTGTTATGCCAACCTTGTACTTATGTAAGTCTCACACAGCTTTACATTGTTATAGAAATCCTTAATATAATCAAAAATTTCTTAGTCCTAAGGAAAAAAAAAAAGGCTGAAATATCAATAGATGTTTTCATTTGAAGTATCATGCAGGTCTGTATTGACATGCAAATGATAAAGAGAAAATCCGTATAATCAATTTTATGTGAGTCACAATCATGCTAGCGCATGGTCTTAAGGCTTCCCTGAGTGACATGAGAAATCTAAGGCTAAAGTTCGGCACTAAATATCACACTGAATTGTTATTGCTAATCCTGCAATAGGCTTTCCTACCGAGGTAGCTTTTTTTCATATTGATGACAAATAAAAGCTTTAAAGGAATGCAGGTATAATTTAAGAAATACGCATTTCTGTTACTGTAAGTATATGTATTAGTATAAAGTGATATTTATTATAGCAGTTATTATTTTTAGCCTTGCATTTTAGGACTGTTTTCCCTGCACTGACTGGAGGACGTTCAAAAAATGCTCAGTCTACAGAATCTTAAGCTGATATTTTTTTTTCTTAGGCAAAGGGCAGACAGTGACAACATGCATTTTGTTTTATCCCACTAGAGGGCCCATGGCAAGGGCTGAAAACATCACTCCTTCTCCAGAGACACCACACAATTGCTCCCAGGGACAGAGAGCTGGACTGTCTGTTGTCTGCCTTATCTTTTTTTTGGTTTTGTTTGGTTTTTGTTTTTTTCCCCTGATGTGTCAGTCTCTCTTAAACATCCTGGAATTGCTTTCATTTTATTATCCTTTCACGTAAGTTTTCCCAACAGCCACCAAAAGGTTTGCTCTGTCAAAGGTTTGTTACTTTAACAGCCTAATCTGAGCCAGTGACCCGGCATGGGAGATTTTGTATCCCATTACTCAGTCCTATAGCTAGTATATGCAACTGTCTTTTTTTTCCTGTATTTAAACGATAAACATTATTATAGGAAAGACTGTTGAACTCACGGATCATTAGACTTGGGGATGAGTGTGCCAAGCTCCTTGATTCGGTAATTAATATTATACCTTCTTCTTCTCTCAACTGTTAAAAAGAAACAGTTACTATTTTTATGGTGAAATATTCTTGAAGAAATTCAACATAAAACATTTTAATTAGTTAAAAATGAGTCAGTCAATGTACAGAACATTTCTTCCTCAAATAGAAGTCCCAACATGATCTTTTCCCTGACTCTGACTTACTCTCAGGACAAACTCCACGATTAGTACCATCTCTGTATCTTACCCTACCTGTAGGTTCCTCCCCCATTTACAGCTAGACTCCTAGAGAATGAAATAGTCATGTTTTGTCTAAACTGAGCTAACGCTTCTTTTTTTCTGATGTTTCTATATTATTTCTCCACCCTGCTCCCACACAACAGAGTTTTCAGCTTAGTGGAGTTTTGATGATGACTTCAACAGGGACACAAGACAAGTCATCCAACATTTCATATTTTGGCAGAACTCCTGCTACAGATCATAGTTAACAGCTTCACTATCCCTTATCTACAGCTGTCAGCATTGCAAACCACAGAGAGGGCATAAGGGCAACCATATCGCCTCACTGAAACAGAGAAAGATTGTGTCCCAGAAACACTTCATCCCCAGCACATCTGTTTCCTTTGGTGATGGACAGCACAGATGTGTTTACAATAACTTCTAAAACACACAGGAGATGAAGAAAAGCATAATTTAAACAATAAAAAAAAAATTCTGTGTTTATGCTTCTCCTAAGAAAAAATAGATATGGTATCTTGGTTTACTTGTAAACTAAAAAAGTTTAGTTAGAAATGAAAAAGGAGAAGATAAGCCTCTTAAAATTAGTTCCCCCTCTCTGTGCTCTCAGTCCACTTTATTGGCATTGTACCACTATCCAAACCGGAGTGTGTGATCTTTCTCTGTACAAAAGGCTCCGTCATCTTTCTGCCTCCCATTTCACTAATTTACAGAGAATTCTCCTCTGCTTTCTCACCAGTTTTTCTCCAGCTACTTTTACATGTGGAAACTTCACATTTTCTAGTGGATAGGCCCAAAGGACATCTCATTGCTTTGGGGAGCTTCTTGTATATAATTGTGACATAGAAAGTATATTCAGCGAGAACATAGCCCCATTGTGGTACTGGTCAGTGTGAGACCAGCAGTGTTGTTCTACTGGTGTGACCTCACACTTTTGTCCACTCCTTCCACGTTGTACTTTAACTCAATCCAAACCTCAGTGAATGGACAGGATTCAGCTTTGGTCTGTCACCAGGATTGCATTTTGCTGTTTCTCTTATCCCTTGCTTCTTGGAAGACCTTACCTTGGGCTCAATACACTAATGCCGCTGTAGTCTGCCAGAACAGACCTGGCCAGCCTAGAACACGGGCAGAATGGATACATGCTCCCCTCATCCATGTATGGAGATGTGCACTAAAAGTTTGATGTCCTAATTTTGAATATAAGTACGACAAGCCCAGTAGAGCTAAATTAGAAACGTAAAGCCAAGGGCAGCCTGGTGGGTCTTCCTAAGCTGACTTCAACCTTCTCACAGTCATACGAGCATATTGCTTCCACTTCAGCCCCACCACATAGATCACTTTTAGTTCTTTACTTCTTCCAACACACCAAGGTGTTTTTTCTTCCTGTCTGTGTGAGGCTCTTAAGATTGTGCAGCCGTCAGTTATTTCTTCTCTAGGTGATTCCAGCTCAGGGAGCTCCCTGGGTGTTATTATTTACCCTGATGAAGTGCTCTGCCTCCGTGAGACGCATTAACTTGTCTATTCTCTCTAGAAACAGGAATTTGACTCAACAGATTAAAGCATCTCGGGTTTTGTAGTCATGATTCACATATTCAGGAGACAGGGTTATAATTCTCCTGAGTGTACTGTTAAGTGACCCCTTGCATTCCATTGGCATGAACGTGCTGGATCTCGTAGGAGAACACAGTGTACAAAAGCACATAGCAACCAAACAATTTAAAAGATGTATTTCAGTTATGTTGGCAAAATAATGGCAGGGCAAGCGGAGTTAAAGAATGTGCATTAACTATACAGTCATATGGCATAATAGCTGTTGTTTGATTAATATTCACACTGTGGAAAAGCTCTGCAAGATACTCATCAAAAAGTAGTCAACTAAATCTTGGCAATAAAACAAGGCAAAGAAAAAAATTTCTTTACAAGTGGACACTTATAGAATTCTTTTTCTTTCTGTTTTTGTAGTTTTTCCTGAAAAGAAGCTTCCAGTATGAATTAGGGGGGAAATTTTGAAGCTCAGAAACATGTTTCAGTAAAGCTTTCCTGATTTACGTCTGTTACAGTCCAGTGGCATCCTGAGTTATCAATAATATTTCAAGTATCAAATTATACCAAAGACAAACCAGAAAATTATTTTTCAAACTATGTGAGCAGGATGACCATATAACAAACAAGTATTACACCTTTAATTCTTTGTCTGGAAAACAAAAAACAAAAATGCCCAATGAAATACATTTAGTAATGGTTTACACTCTTGCTGTTACATGAAGAAGGGGTTCTATTTCTTAAATCTAAATCCCTTTTCATGGTTTCATTGAGGATCTAACCTTTCAGAAAGAACTTTTTTCTAGTTCTTCCTTGGTATGAGAAGGTACAAGAACATTTCTGTAAAATGTGGACCTTAATTCAACCTGAAACATGAATGTTTGTATAATTCTCCGCAAGTTTCAAAACCTGATTTTACAGACTCTTTCTAAAAAAAAAGGTACTCATAGAAGAGTAAATCACACTAATAAAGCCTTTATATGTAATGCATTAATATGTCCAAGCCATCAGATAGTAGAGCTATTGCCAGAGAGACTCCAAAGTATACACTTGGAGCCAAACCAGAAGAGATGTGGCGTGTCTGCGCGCTATCATCCTGGCATTCAGCCTTCACCTCAGTTGCCAGCGGTGAGGGACAGTTCTCAGACATGTCTTCTGTGTTCAGGAAGGATAAACTCAGAGCCAAAATAACCAATGGAGGCAATGGTAAGACCTGGCACCCCCAATGTATGCGTGTGCCTGTCTTTCCCCTTGCAGTTCCAGACAACTCCTACCCACCACCTTTCCTAGTCCAGCAAAAATTCCCCATTCCTGCCCAAACAAGACAGGCAGCAGCTCCATTGGCACTTCAGAGAAGATGTGCTAGCAACAGGCCTAAAAATACACGTGGTCTGTCTGTAATCCACAAAAATGCACAGACAGAAAAAAGGATGCCTTCTGGAAAGTCTAAGTAGTAGAAAGTTGTCCATGGTGGTTGCTAGCACATTGTGCAGGTGAATGTATACTTCCAGGTATAATTTCATGCAGGTAAAGCCATAAATCCCTCTAAGATTACCAGAATAGCTAGAGAACCAAGATATAAATAAGACAACAAAGATATAAATAGCAGCTCTTAACTAATTACCAATTTGGGTTTAAATTCATAGAATCATAGAATATCTCAAGTTGGAAGGGACTCATAAGGATCACTGAGTGCAACCACCAGACTATTTCTGCTGGAAAAAGGGAAAGGAGAACTGGAAAATCCAATTGCTATATTCAACACTTTCCAAAAAGAATCCTTTAGGGGTTTTGTTTCAAATTACTCTTTAAAGGGAAAAATTGCCTAATTTTGTAGGCATTCTTTCAGCAATAAAAACTGTTTTTTTCTTTCTATTCTGGATAAACCAAAATGTTGTTTATTTTTATAAATTTAATATTTAGACACTGAACTATGAATTTTACTATGTTCTAAGCCTAAATTGACTGTTCCTCTAGAACTGAAATGCCTAACATCCGTACATGGCTGCATTGCTGTCCGTAAAGGAGACAGAAGTGTAACCCAGCCTTCAAAGGTTGGGGGGGTGTGTATCAGCGCAGAGTCAGCGCACTGTGAGTCTCACCCAGTCCTGCCCTGATCTCCTTTTGTGACATACAATTTCCACAACTTTAAGTGCTTAACTAGTGTTTAGAAGTTGTCTGATACCCTCTGTAATTTTTTTTTCCTTCCCATCACCCATAGATATAGCCTCTCGCTTGGGTGCTTCAGGAAGTAAGGTATGAACTCTGTATTTTCACTGTTAGTTTTTTCATCATCTGCCTCCTTTCTTGTCTGTTTTACACTGTAATTCTCAGAGACAACATCAAGTAAAGTGTGCAGGATACATGCACAACTGTAGAATGAAAACATAGTAGCAGGAGATGGTATGAAAAGAAATTCATTACAATATGCAAAGTATTTTGAAAGACAAAAGTGAAAGACATTAAGTTCAGGGAAGAAATCTCTGTGGCTGGCTGATTTTGCAGACTGAGTTCAATTTGATTACCCTGGTAAGATGGTAATCTAGAAGAAGAACAGACATGTGGTAGCTAATGTATATTATTTTTGCATTCCCCATACATTCCATTTAATGAGATGGAAGATGAACATATACTTACTGAGATTGTGGTTATCCTTTTTTTGTCTCTCCTTTGCCATTGCTCGTGTATCTGCTTCTGACAGAAAGTAACATTTATTAAAACAGTCCTTAAGTTGCAATTCCAGTACTTCTTTCACCTTTTCAAAATGGCCTCTTGTCACAAAGAACAGCCTTCTAGTCTTTTTACTTCATTACTCTTTTTATTATTAAACAAGATCATAAGCAAATCTATATTCTACCAGTACTAAATTTTGAGCTAGTCTGGCAGGTTCCTTAAGATTTTTTTATTGCACATTTTTTATTTAAGACCATAGAAATGCCATGGAGGGGTATTTTTCTCCGATTTGCTGTATTTTACATCAGGATAAAACTTACAATACACTAATGTGTGTGGATTTGTGTATCCCATAATGCAAGAGTTAATCAGATTTGTAAGATATTGAACAAACTCACTGTTTCCTCTGAGTGACACTAATAAACTGTACATGGTTGTTAGCATTCTTTGGATTAATTGAATGTAACTTTTAAAGTTGTTAATCCACTAATATAGATTTACCTTGAATAGCCTTATTGTAAGGTTTTAAAAGAACCATTTGTTCTACCCTGGAACAAATTTAATGGATGATAATTTATTTATACTGTTGATCAGGAGCCAACATGTGGAAGAATCCACTATGTTTCCTAAAATAATTAGGTTTATTAGAAGCAAGATGTTCATAAAAAACAGGGGGCAAATATGGTTTCTGAATTGTTAAAGAGGAGAACAGAAGAAAACATTTCTCCTTGGTCTTTGTTCCTTTCCTTAAATGAAACTACAAACTGCAAAATGCTCAGGAATTTAATTATAGACATCTATTCATGGGTAAGATTTATTCAACTTTTAAGAGAAACACCATCACTTCTGCAATTATAGAATACTAAAATCTCAGCGTTCTTTTACCTGTGAGTTCCCTTTTTACTGGTAGATTAGCTGGGCAGGAAGCATTTGTGAGACCCATATTAGCTGGTGCCATTCCCTGGTCACTGTTATATATATCCAAAATGCTGCTAGATAGCTTGAGGGGTAGGGGGAGGAAAGAAGAATAAGGAAAAAAAAATATTAAAATAAGTTAAAGATTTAAAAGATTAAAAAAAAACATAAATACAAAGAGCAAACTTTTTTGAATATGTCTGGTGTTCTTTAGAAGTAGTTGTGTATATGTGTCTAAAGGTAAAGCTTACCTTTATGTAGTATTAAGTAAAATTGAAAATGAAGCATCACAGTCTGCCACTGTTCCACAAGCAGCTTTCTAAGTGCCCTTTGTGTGGATTTCAGATGCAGAGTGATGGCAGGATATGGCTCCCAGCGTCTGTTTTTCGATCACTTCTATACCATATTTTCCAATAACAGAAATACCACAACTGCATTTCAAACATGAATTAGGTTGAAAGTAAAAATAACCTTGCTGGTTTTGACCTACTCCCCAGTGATTTTTTAACCACATCACTAAATTCTGAATTGGCACTTCATACTGCAGCTGGTTTAGCAGTATAAAGATTCAGTGACCCATATAGATGCAATAGTTAAAATTAGAGTGGACAGAACATCAAAGAATATGCTTTAAGGAAAGAAACTCTGCTGTTGTCGGGATAAACCAGATAACCTAATGGTTTTAACATGTATAACATATACAATAATGTATACCATTACCCTTGTTACCTTCTAAAATGTAATATAACATTATTTAAATAAACCCATAGAATGCACTTAAAGAGAAGTAAGGCTAAAGTATATTTCTATGGATTCCAGATAATTACGCAAATATTACTTTTACTTAAGTAATTTTACATATCTGAAATAACTGTAAAATGTGTAAAAGTTTAGTAAAGAACATTTCAGATTTTGCTTAGTTTCTATGACCATATAACCAACCTTCCAGCATTGATGATTATCTTATACATTTCTGTACATTCATGTGAAAACAGCTGTATAAAAAGAGTCCAAGTCCAGATTCACAAAAAAAGATTTGTATTCTTATTGCCTTCTAAGGCAGTGAGAGCAGCATATTTTTTTTCATTTTATCATGCATACAAAATTTGTGCTGACATTTTTTTTCTTTTGCCGCCAACACGCAAGGACTCAGAAATTGAGTTTGGGTCCACCTGGCCAAGAAGAAAGGAAAAAAAAAAAGGGGGGGAGGAAAAAGTGGGTGAAAAAAAGTGAGGAAAATTGTGGGTAAAACTACTGACTTGAGACAGAAAAGCATGAAAAGAAATAAGGAATTATTTAAGAAAATTTTTTTTCATAGAGAAGAAAACATGTTTTTACAGTTCTGCCCTGCACCCATGGATCCTGAAACACCCTGGAGTTTTTCAGGCTGGTCATTGAGACACCAACCATAGATCTGCTGGGAACTAGCTTTTTTTAGGCTCTGATCATTTCTTTTCTTGTAGAGACTGTGAGCTTCACCACAAACTGTTTTGAATGGAGACACTTTTCCAGTGACATGCTCAGTGTGAAATTGTTCCATGGCAGTGCTTGCTATATATTTATATTAAATCTGAAATTTTAAATGTTTTATTTTTAAATAATGATTTTACTAAATTAACTAATAACTTTACTAAATTATCTGAGAACCTAATTTGTGTTAAATTCTCCCAGTTGTATAACCTATGATGAAATGAAGGAATCAGGATTCTTTCTGAATACACATAAATAACACGCTCATTTTTGAAGTAGAGGTTTATTACTTAGGAGAACTGACAATTCCTAAATACCATTAGAAATCACAACAGCAAGTCAGTTTTGAAAATCTGCTTACATATTTGATCTCTCAATGAAAATACTTTTTAAAAGAATGTTTGGAATTCAGCTGAGTATTACTCAAGAACAAGCTATGTTTAATATGCAGGATTTGAATGCTAAGCGCATTTGCCCGTTAAGCACCTTTGTTTCATTCCAGAGTGGTAAACTGACAAGTATTACAGAATTCACTGCAGCTTTACCTTCGCATTTTCTTTGTTCAAGGGCTAGTATAACTATATTACAAGAGTGAACTCATATTAGCTCTAGACACATATTTAATTACTTCCTACATTCATGTAAATGAATTTGGCTTATTGAAATGATATGAAAACAGAATGATATAAAAAAATTGAGAGTCAATGTGACTCCTACACTTACTCCAGTGGACTTTGGATAAGGCTGTTATATGGTTTAGACTACTGTTTTTGTGAAATTCTAGGAAATAGTAACCACTGAATATAATATAATATAATAAATAATCTAACAAATGAGAAATTCATATCTATCATATTTTATATATTTCAGATAGCTGTGTACATGACGTCAATAACTTGCATGAAACTGGTGGTAATCTTTTCAATTTATAAGGTTATCAATACCATTAATGGAAAAATCACAATTGTAAACCACAGTTTGACACAAACACATGAGATACATCAAGGATTACTTCTAACTTTCAAACAGTGGTTCAACTTTATCCTCAAAATATAGTTAAATTTTTATAGTCTATTCACAAAAGTGTGAATTCAAATGATAAGGCCCAAACCCAAGAGAAAAGGTCATGAATGGCTAACTTAGCTGGTAATGAAAAAATAATACCAACACACCTGAAAGTTCAGAATTGTGTGAGGGTTCAAAAGGGGGTGAGTAAACTCAACTTAAAACCACAGGTAGACATTTCAGCTGAATTTGATAACACAGTTGATGAAAGCGCTTCTATCTAAAACAGCTGCCATTGTCTGGAGTGATAAGAGTTCATACGCCTCCTTCCATCAGCAGAACTGCTGGGGCAATGTCATCCCACACAGCCGGGGCTGCAAGCGAGTATCTGTCCATGATCTATGTCTGGCTGCACTACTGCTTCCATCGAGCAGTGAAAGGCATGAAATATTTTCCCTATTATCCATATCATCTTTGTTTCACACAGACAGTCTCCAGAATTTTTCCCCTCATCATTTGGCAATTTTTCTCAGTCATTAGGAAAACAGAGTCATAACTCCATGTGGAGATGATGAAAATGAAATCCAAACCCAAGTCATTCATCTACTGGTGGCTACAATATTATAAACTCACTAACTCAAATGATTCACACGTGTTAATCCAGAAGGGATAGGCAAGGATTGAGAGGTGGTGGGGTAGCCCTGTGTGTTACGGAATGTGTTGTCTGTCCAGAGCTTAATGATGGTGACAATACAGTTGAGTGTTTATGGGTAAGAATCAGGGGGTAGGCCAACAAGGCAGATATCATGGTGGGAGTCTGTTATAGACCACCCAACCAGGATGAAGAGGCAGATGAAATATTCTATAAGCAGCTAGGAGAAGTCTCACAATCGCTAGCCCTTGTTCTCATGGGGACTTCAACTTAGCAGATGTCTGCTGGAAATACAATACAGCGGAGAGGAAACAGTGCAGGAGGTTCCTGGAGTGTGTGGAAGAAAACTTCCTAACACAGCTGGTGAGGGAGCCAACTAGGGAAGGTGCCCCGCTGGACCTGTTGTTTGTGAACAGAGAAGGACTTGTGGGTGATGTGATGGTTGGAGGCTGTCTTGGGCATAGTGATCACGAAATGATAGAGTTTTCGATTCTCAAAGAAGTAAGGAGGGGGGTCAGCAGAACTGCTCCCTTGGACTCCCAGAGGGCAGACTTGGCCTGTTTAGGAGCCTGGTTGACAGAGTCTGTTGAGAGGCAGTCCCAAAAGGCAAAGGGGTCCAGGAAGGCTGGACATTCTTCAAGAAGGAAATCTTAAAGGTGCAGGAGTGTGCCATCCCCATGTGCCAAAAGATAAGCCAGCAGGGAAGAAGACTGGCCTGGCTGAACAGAGAACTTTGGCTGGAACTCAGGAAAGAAAGGAGACTTTATGACTTTTGGAAGAAAGGGCAGGCAACTCAGGAGGACTACAAGGATGTCATGTAGTTATGCAGGGAGAAAATTAGAAGGGCCAAAGCCCAACCACAACTTAATCTGGCTACTGCTGTAAAAGACTGTAAAAAAAGTTTCTAGAAATACATTAGCATCAAAAGGACGGCTAAGGAGAATCTCCATCCTTTATTGGATGCAGGACGAAACACAGTGACAAAGGATGAGGAAAAGGCTGAGGTACTTAATGCCTTCTTTGCCTCAGTCTTTAATAGTAAGTCCAGTTGTTCTTGGGGTATCCAGCCCCCTGAGCTGGAAGACAGGGATGGGGAGCAGAATGAAGCCCCCATAATCCAAGGGGAAATGGTTAGTGATCTGCTACACCATGTAGACACACACAGGTCTATGGGGCTGGATGGGATCCACCCAAGGGATGGGTGGATCCCACCCGCTGAGGGAGCCGGTGGGAGGGCTCACTGAACAACTTTCAATCATTTATCAGCAGTCCTGGCTAACTGGGGAGGTCCCAGTTGACTGAAAGTTAGCAAATGTGACGCTTTCTGCCACACCATTAAAGAGAAACTTTGATCTAATGTTAACTGTCCTAAATTTTTCTCCAGAACTTGGACATCAGATAATAACCCTATTCAACAGCACTGTCACAGAGAGCCTACAAAATTCTCAGTCATTCACCTATTTTGAAAGCACTAATTTCTGAGCTGCAGAATCTGTCTTTCTAATTGAAGCATTCACAGGTGTGACAAATATGACCATTTTTAATAATCCGTAGGTAGGGTACTCTTGGGGAATAGAGAATGGTAGGTTTGACCCTCCTTAAGTCTGTCATCATCTCAGTCAGTGCTCTGAAGGATTGGATAACAGAATAAACAGTTTACTCATCTGGCCATAAAAAGGACATACAAAAAAAAGGTTCTTTTCTTCATACCTACAACCCCTCCAGATTTAGGATTGCTGTCTCCCTTCAGCATTTGTCTGGATGATTTTGCTTAGTACAAAAGCAGTTGTGCCAATCACAGTATCTACTGCCTCTTTCTTCCTGTGCATTTAGTAGAAATCTCAAGTATATTGTAATGGCCACTACGATGGGTAAGTGGCTTCTTTGTGGATAGAGCCATTGGTGATCTCCCTTTGACACACTGTCTTCTTTCTCAGTTAGCCAGCACAGCATTTTCA